TTGATTTTTAAAAATATTTATTAAAAATAGTGTTTTTAAAATTAAAACTCTAATTTTTTTTAGAATCAAGATTGTTATGTAATTTTTTTAAAAAATAAATATAGAATATAAATTGATGAAAAATATATAAAATTTAGAATTTTATCTTATTTTTGTGATACATTAAAGAGTTAATTATTTGATATTACAAAAATTTAAACCCCTAAATTTAACTCTAAATCAAGATTTTTAAATAAGTAATAATTATTAATCTAGCTAAGCTGTTGTTGATGGAGTGTTATCTTATTACCAACAACAAAAGATCTACTTTAGAAGTAACAATTTGGAGTTTTAACTTCTAACTTCAATAAAATAATTTTTTGAAAAGATGAGATGGTTTTTTTTTAGAAAGCTACATTTAGTTCAGTTTCACTCACCTCGTCTTAAATTAATTATCAGTTTTATATTTTTTTGATTTGGATAATTTTTTAACTTTAATTTTATCATTATTTAATTATTTTAATTAAGTATGTAATTACAGCAAGTCTCATTTTATCTTTTTTCTAAAAAATATTCTTATAAATAAATATATAAATTATTTTAAAATTTTTCAATAAAAAATTAAAAAATAATAATTATTTTAAGATGAAAGTATTTTTTATAGCAAATAGTCCCCAACTTCTTAGAAGAGAGAACTACGAGTGAGCTTTTTTGTATTACTACATGACACTTTTAGGTATATATATGTGTTTAGTAATATTTTTTCAAACTATTTTACTAAAAGTTATAGAAAGTCATTATGGTAATTTTATATATAAAGTCAGAAACCTCATTTTAGAGTATTCTAATTATAACTTTTACAGAGAATACCTAAATTTAATATAATTATAAAATTACCCATTAAAATCTAATTTCATATAATTTAATTACATCATAATTTATAATATTTTAATAATGATAATAAATTTAAAAAACCTAAATTATTAAAAGATAATAAATATTATCTCATTTAATAATTATATATCTTACAATATTTTTTAAATTTTAATTAATAATTAATAAAATCTATCATATTTCATCCATAATACTTTTAAAAAATAAATAACAAAATACCAAATTAACTTTTAGCCATAGTTACAGTATAGTACAGTTTAATACAGCTACAACCACAATCACAGCCACAATCACAACCACAACCACGACTACAGCCACAGCCAGTCACAACCACAGCCACAGTATTAGTCACAACTATAACCATAGCACTTCACAACAATTACAAACGCACCCTACATCCCCTAACACATAACTTGAAAAATAATTACAAGCAACAAGGTAATTAATAAATAAAAAATTACTAGTACAATGTTTATTATTTTTTAGGAA